TCTTGTACAGCAATTAACCACTAAGAAGAATATATGCAGTGTATTATTTGTTGAAACTGTACTTCCGATTGGATTTGAAACTGTCTCATTGCTGTTTATCAATAAAACTTTGAAAAAAATAAAAATAAAAATAAAAAATACCTTTAACCTGACTTAAAACATTATACAGCATATGTATATATTGAAACATCATAAGACCCCACTAATGTTGACAACTTTCAGGTCTGTTATCAGTTTAAAATAAGATTTAATTTGAATTTTAAAAAGGGTGCTGGGGAGATAGCTCAGTGGCTTAAGTGCCTGCCTGTCAAGCACAAGGTCCTGAGTTGGATCCCCAGTACCAACAAAATAAAGAAAAAAATAAAAATAAAAAAATGTTAAAAAAGAAAGGAAAAATACGGCAATGCTGTGGTAAATGCTGTGGGGGGGGGGGCATTCTAAGATGGCTCTGCCACAATCCCAATATGAAAAAAACCTCCTTGGGCTAAGGAGATAGCTCGAGAGTCTAAGGGTCTGCCAGACAAGTGCATGGACCTGGGTTCAATCCTTGGTACCACATGCTGTGCTGGCCCCGAAACCAGGTGCGGTGGTACACACCTATAATCTCAGGATTATATATTTTTACCCTTAAAGAGGGTTACAACATACTACATCACAACATCCTTCCCTGTATGGGGTTAATTGAGAACTCAGGCCAAAGTCTAAGGACACTGAGATCTACCTGTATACGGGAGAGAGACTGAATGCTGTATGGAGGAGCCTGAGCCTTTAATTAACAACCTGACTTATTAACAACCAGCCCTTGGAAACAAACTGAAGTCAAGGGTACACTGTGTAGCCTTTTCCTCATCTGGGAAATGAGGAGCCTATACAAATTGACATCTTTTTCCAATCTAAATACCTAACTTACTAACTCTTCTTAGCCCTAACTTAACCCATTTTTTAATTCAGCTCTGACTTAAAAGATGAAACGCAAATGAAAACTCCAGTTTGGAGATAATACAGTAAAATGGCTAACAGCTTAGGATATTGATCCCATCTAATAAGTACAAACAGCAGACATCACTTAACCTTTCTTTGTATTATTTCATGCCTGCTTTATAGACTGATGTGAAGACTACTTGAGTTATTATATCATATCGAGGGTAAACATCAATTGTTATTACTATTTACAGATCACCTATGTGCCAAGTACTGTGCTAAGTGCTTATTACAGCCCTAACAAAAATATTATCTTAAGAAAGTGGCTCAGGGAGACTAAAAAGTTATCCCATGTCAGAATTACAGTGTATCTAACAGTCAAGTTTTCTCCCTTAATGTCTCATTTATTCATCTGAAAAATACTGAGTTCCTAGCACGTGCTCAAAGGAGATGAGGCTGGAACCTGTGATCCTCCTCCCTCAGGCTCCCAGCATGGTTACAGGTATGAATGACCATGCTGGGCCATTTATGGTTTTCATTCAACAAGTTGCCTAATTTTTCTCTGACACTTAAAACTTAGCCACCAGCTTTTTGATCCAGATTAAATTTTCATGTGAATTCCAACTTAAAAGTTGCTGTACTTTGTTTTGTTTGTTTTTTTTTTAAAATATTTATTTATTTTTATTTATTACATTTATTTATTGTGTGTGTGTGTGGCCAGCTCAGCCCACCAGGGGGCGGGTCTGGCTGGCATGTGGTGCTGGGGATCGAACCGCGGTCCCTGTGCTTTGCCAAGCTTGTTTCAAGTAGGTGCTTTAGACCACTGAGCCATCTCTCCAGCCCCTGCTGTACTTTGTTTTGAAAGATAGCCCAATGTTATGATTTCCAAAAGCCTCCTGCACTCACATGTGGGTTTTTGGAAAGTGACTGCATCGTTGGGGTTACAGCTGACTTGCTTTAGAAGGTGCGGTCTTGTCAGAAGAGGTGAGTCTTGGAAAGGGGGGGCATGGCTTGAAAGGATTTAGCACCCTTAAAGGCTCCTCCCTGCCTCTCTGCTCTGGTTCTCTGCTTCCTGTCTGCCATGCCAAGAGCAGCTCTTTTCAGACATGCCATCTCTGCCATTCTGTCCTGCCTTGAAGCCAGCTGACCACCGACTGAAATGTGGACCAAAACACAACTTTCTTCTATGGCCAGGGAGAGAGCTCAGTGGCATAAGTGCTGCCTGGCAGGTGCAAGGACCTGGGTTTGATCCCCGGTACTACATGGTGTGCTGGCCCTATGCCGAGCTTGAGCTGGCTACCAAAACCAGTGTGGTAGCACGTGCTTGTAATCCCAGCACTGCAGAGGTTGAGACAAGAGGATCACTATGAGTCTACACTGCGTAGTGAGGGCCCTATGCCAAATATAAAAGATTTAAAAAATAAAAAAAATTTAAAAATCAGGCTGCACACAAATACATTAAAAATAAAAAATAAAAATTTCCTCTAAATTGTGGGTGCTGGATATTGTGTCTCAGCAATGAAGAAAGTAACTAAGACACCCAATTAGTCCAAAGTTTTACCCCTAAATAGAGAAATGAATCACTAAGATTCCCAAAATTAGAGCTCACTTTTTTTATGTTGAGCTCACTTTTTTGGAAGTACCTTTCTGGGTAGTAGAGGTAATAATTTAGAATTGCCTACTGATGGGCATTCAAGTACGTACTTGGAAGAACTCAGTCAAACAATTTTCATTGACGATAAATGCTTAAATGGATTTCAAAAATCACAGACACAAGGGGCCAGTGAGATAGCTCAGCAGACTAAAGTGCCTGCTTAGGCAAGTGTAGGGACTACGGTTTGATCTCTAATACCAGCGATCGAAATAGGGCAGGCTGAGCACGCCAGAGTCCAGGCATAGTGGCGTATACCTGTAAGCCCAGCACTGGGGAGGCTGAAAACAGGAGAATCACTATGAGTCCGAGCTGCATAGTAAGACCTTGTAAAAACCAAATACATTTTAAAAAGTCATAATAATCTTTTTTTTTAAAAAAAGAAAAGATGCAAGAGTAGATTGGAAAAACATTCATTCATTCATTCATTCATTCATTCATTTATTCATATCAGGAATCAAACTCAGGCCCCTGTGCTTGCCAGGCAGGCTCTTATGCCACTGAGCTACACCCTTGGCCCTGGAAAAACTACAGGAAAAACAAAACACATGGCCTTTGCTTTTGGAATTGTCTTAGGTATTTTGCATAGGGTCTCACTACGCAGCTCGGACTCATAGAGGTCCTCCTGTTTCCAACCTCCCCAGTGCTGGGATTACAGGAGTGCACCACCACTACACCTGGTCTTGAAGTTGTCTTGATAGAAATGTTCTATATTATTTCTCATGTTTATCTCCCTGATATTTTTCAGTACTTAAGTAGTTTTTTGTGAGAATCATTTTCAATTTTATATCCTTTTTAAGCATTTTCAATTTGCCTTAGATATTCTACTAGCTCTTCCTCTTTACATTTTTTTTTCTTTCCTGCTATTTCTCTTTTCTTCTTTTCATTCTCTAACTGTATCCTTTCAAACTGTTTCTGTTGTTTTTCCTCCCTAGCTTAAGCCGCCAACTGTTGTATTTCAGTAATATCAGGCTTCCCTTTCCACATAACGGGTTTCACAAACTCATTTGTGGCCAAAATCCACTTACTGATTCTCATCAAGATGCAATCCAAAGAGCTTAGCCTGTGGCTTATTCCTGAGGTTCACAGGCTGTCCTACAGTTCAGCCTCTCTAGTAACCTAACCTGCCAGAACTATAGTTCTCTCACGGATTCTTTCAATAAATACAGAATGCAGGCCTACTCTTACCTCCCTTTTTTTTTTTTTTTTTTTAATTTTTTATTTTGTTTAAAGCATTTTCTTAAAATTTGTGTGTGTGTGTG